ACGAGGCCCGAGAAGTATTCCACAAACAGTCAAATTTTTGTAATCCCTCTATAAAAATTTCAATGTCATATTCTATCCCGTCTTCTATGGTTAGTTCTTCTTGATGTTCTGAAATAGCATTTTCAAGAGCTGGGACACTGTCTTCGAGTGAAAGCAAATTGCACTCACTCATGTCCGCCACGTTGTTCACAAGTATTTCAATTTTTCTGCTCACAAAAGCAGAAAATGTCGCCAACATTTCAACTCTCAATTATTTCACTGCCGAAAAATAAATACCCAACTGCGCATGCACTTAACTTGTCATTGTCGAAAAATTTTGATTCGGTCGAAAAATTCCACCTAGTGGAAAACCGCCTTTACATGGACGAAATGATTGTGGTGAATTCCGGTCCGTTCACACTGAATAAATACACACCACAAACACGATTAAAACATCACTCGTTTCCAGTTCTCCTGTGAGCGCTTAACAGAATATTAATAGTGTTTAAACTGTTACAGCTTTAAAGTACGTTTTCATCTGTCCTCTAACTCATTTAGCGAAACACCCTTGATCATGTTAATTGCTGCACTTTTTGCTTTTCTCTGAGGTCTTTTCTTCAACTCCACATCTTGCGACTGGTCGGCTACCATTTTATTTTCTATGTGATCTCTCTTCTTCGATGGCTCGTTATCCTTAGATACAATTGGTCTGCGACCTAGAAATCAAAGTATTGGTCGTTCAACAACATACCCAGTCCCAGTCTTGATCTTGTATCCCCTCAATACTCCATCTACTCCATCTAGGCAACGTTTCTTCTTTACCGACAATCTTTCGGTGTCTTTCTTCCAGGGCATGGAGGTATTCCAGCTGCCAATGCTTTCTTAGTTGCAGCCGACAAGCCTTCAGAAATTTTATTCTTTTAGTTATCAGATCTTTCTCATACAATGCCTCCAAGTCTTCCTCTAAGAAATGTGCCGATGTCCCATGAATTAAAAGATTTTGCGTGAGAATAGGATGTTTTATTTCTTCTTGATAACAGAGCGGTCAATTATTCATGAAACATTCAATATCAAGTAGCACTTCTTCTAGTTCTTCATATTTGAGCAGGCCCGTCCAACCACTTTAGACAGAGTAACTTTCAAATGATGCCGAACATTCTTATGAATAATCCACCCCACCATGGGGCCCTTGCGAGATTGAAACTCCACTCGATTCATTGTGTATTGAGATAGTTAAACAAGTCCTCATCCTGTATAAGCATATCAAGTCATTGATGTGCGGCCTTGAAGGCCAGGGTGTTGTCACTCACCAGTTTGTGAGGGGTTCCGCGTCTAGCCACAAACTCTTCCAAGCTTCTTTTGAATCCTTCAGCAGTCATACTTTTACATAGTTTAAGATGGACAGCTCTTGTAGTACATGTAAACACCGTTATGTATGCTTTCTGTGTTTTCCTATTTGGGGTTCGGTACAACAATGGGCCAGCAAAATCAACACCAGTCACAGCAAAAGGGTGGGTCTCTGTGTTCTGAACTCTGGTAATGGTGCCGTTGTTGGTGGGTGGAGAGGCTTCACTCGGAATAGCTTACATGTACTGCATTCGTGGATAACACTTTAATTCACTAACACTCTCAGTTGTGGTATCCAGAACTGTTCCCTCACCTTAGCCATGGCCGAACACACTCCCCCATGAGCAATCTGTTCATGTACGTCACTGACAAGTATTTGATCAAGGCAACACCGCCTTGGAATGAAGGTTGGACGGTATCCGGGGATTCAACTATTCACTCTCAAAACATCTTCTCTATCTTTCTGCAAGTCTACGTTGGAAACCGCTGAGACATTCCTTTGAACATGACGCAGCCACAATTTCTCAGTGTCCAGGATCTCTTCTGTTTTTAACAATCTGTTCCATTTTCCTCCCTTGGCATTCCTGACAAAGGTTTTTGCATAAGTGGTCTCATTCGTGTTGTTTGTTGACTTAATGACTGGACAGTTGCTGTGCTATTTATGCAATTCGAAAAACCAGCTTCATTCTTGATTTCAGTTGATTCAACCTTGAATTTGATGACATCTTCCTCGGAATTCCCGCCTCCTTGGAATTCCCGCCTCCTTGGATGTTGTCAACATATGTGTCATTGCATAGGGATTTAACTGTACTAGTGTACCTGTTCTCATATTGTTCCAAATGTTTCTCCAAAGTTGCCCCCAGTATATACGGACTAGATGTGGCATCAAATATCGCACAAGTAAACCGATATTCAACTATATTACGGGATTCCAAGTCATCATACCAGATCACATCTTGGGAATCTTGTTCAATACAGCGCTTTTTTTGCTGTAATGGTGTCAGTTTTAGCTCATTAGCAAGGTCACTACAAATTTATGAACTACTTGCCCCAGTGTCAATCATAACTTGCACCTTTTTGTCCCCAATCTTGGCATGTAATATCGGGTGTACAGTAGGTTGATTACTTTGGGCTGCACCAAGGGCCTTATCATTTTTTTCATGTCCAAGTTCATCCACACCTGTTTCACGTTGAATACCTGCATAACCCTTTTCCCCTTTGCTATTATACATCTCATCCATTGAAGATGGGCCCTTTTGTTGACAAATTGAAGTGTGATGCTTTTGTCCGCATTTATGACAGCCTTGTGCTCTACATGTCGAGGCTCAATGGTCTGGGGTTGCACAATTGTAACAGGAATTCTTCTGCTTTAGAATCTCACGTCGCTTAGCAACATCTAATATCTTCGTGCAATTGATAGCTGTATGTTCCTTCGACTCACAGTAAATACACTGTTTTTTCTTGTTTCTTTCACCATCATTACCAAAGAGTAGTTTTTCACGATCACCCCAACGACCTCTCTTCTTCCAATCTTGTTTTCCAGATGCTTCATTCTCTTCTGCACAAATAGGGTTTCAATTTACAAACTTGTGTAAGTGCTCCACTAGTTCGGTTAATCCCCAGCTTTCCCACTTGTCATCCTTCTGAACCAGGACCTCTCACACAGGGCCTAGTTTGTCCATTAATGTGTACACCACACTTTGCGCTGTTTCCAATTTTCCCATCGTTGTAAAAATCATGAATCAAATTGAGTTTGTGAATGCTGGTAATAGTGTGAAGACTTACCAAATCTTTTATGAGTGCTTTGTGGACTTTTGTATCCTTGCCATATTTTTCTATGAGTGTCTTCTTTGCTTCCTTATAACCATTTGATGTATTGGGTAAACCCAAAATGTCCTCTCAGGGTTTCCCTTTTACTAACTCTAACAGATAGTGAAATTTTCTCACATCCGAAATGTTGGTGTCTTTGACTTCTACTGTAAACTGGTTCCAGAATCTCAGCCAGTCCATGTAATCCCCTGTATTATAGTGTGCTTTTCCAGCTTAACTGTAGATCGAGTTTTGTTGTGCCAGCTGTTACACCCCCTGTTGCTACACTTTGCATTTGCAGTCCTACTTTCTTCTTCAACCATTCTTCAGCTTGTTCTTTCATTATCATCACCTCTTGAAGTTCCTTTTCTTGTTGTAATTGAAATTTCAGTTGCTCATAATTAATCTTCTTTTTGTTCTCAAGTTCCCCCCGAATTGCACTCTTAATGTGTCCTTTTGTTGTTTGCAGTTGTCCCTTGCTTTGCGAAAGCTCACAATGCATTCCTTTTGTTTATCTGCCCAGGCTTTTAGTGTTTCCAAATCTGAGTCATCTTCCATCATATATTACATAGTGTTGTCCTTGGATGATAGTTCAAGTCGTTTTATGATTTTCCCAAGTTTCGCATACGCCATGACTGTATCATCCAGATAGTTCGTTGCTATAAGATCTTCAGCCTCGGACAAGTTGTCACCTGTTTCTCATGTTTTGCTTCAGTTGCCATATTGTCTCAAATACAGTACTGACTGTTGAACAAGGCATGCAAAATTCAAAACTCAATCCAATTTTGTTGTAACAATATGTCAGTTGTTTATTAAGTGCTCCCCTCTTTCCAAATTGGAAATGCACAACATTTAGTGTAATAGTATTAGAAATCAAGTTCCAAATTATTTATCACTTCACTGTATTGATATCTTCCATTTAACCAATGTTATACTCCACTGTCGACATTCCAGTCCATAGAAAACCCAATATTAAATATTTTGTTACTCATGTATGTGACGTAAGACAAACATTATGCCCCAAATATCTTTGTTGTCGACAAAACATATAAACACCGATTTCCAATGAAAAATAGTTAAGTTAATCCAAAACTGTGTAGTTTTTCAAACGATATAATGAGTACCCACGATAAATAAACGCTTTAGTAATTGAAATATATCCACAAAATTAATAGAAAATATACTCACAGTTCCATATCCACTGCTAATTCCCACAAAATATCCTTCATAATCCGATTGTAAATATAAAACAAATGAGGAAATTCTCTGTTAATTATCCTGCCGATGGATCGCCACTTTCAGTGTGGTTAAATCCAGTCGGTTCACACTGAATAAATCACATTTTTGAGTTATTGTTACTTCTTTATTTTAAACTAAATAATATCATAACTCCCTAACAATAGGAAGATGGCAGAGAGAAGATTAGCTTCTTTACAGCCTCATTTGAGTAAGGATAGTAGTCTGCGAGAGAAATATCAGAACGTTATTGACTATTATCTCACTATTATCTCAAGAAAGGGTATGCCGTACAAGTTCATGAAGCGAAACAAAGTATCTTGGAGTGGAATTGAAGATATGTCTGGTCAGATCTGGTACTTGCCTCGCCATCCTGTCTTTCATTGACAAAAGCCTAACAAAGTGTGTGTCATATTTGATTGTGCTGTGAAGTTTGAAAGTACATCATTAAATGATCAGTTGCTGCAGGAACCAGATTTGAACAACTCACTATTTGGAGTCCTTTGATTTTGTCAAGACCCAATTGTGTTAAGGTTACAGGACACCCTTTTTGGCGTTTTGCGGAAAATCGCTACTGCGCGCTCAATATCAGTCCGATTTTCATCAAATTTTCACCAAATGTTCTTCAGTGCATGCAAAAAATATGGTAAAGTTGTAAAATTAACAAGCAATAAAATAATGTAATAATTATTCAGGAAAATCTTAAATCGCGGTACCGTTACGCTTTTGAGTTATGTTCCTGCTGGTTTTAAGTTATATTTATGAAAATATCATTTTTATACAGTAAAATAGTTGTTCTAAAAAATTGTGTTCGGAAATTTTTGTTTATTTCGTCATTCCGCTGATATGGCGATTTCTTTGACGACTGCAATATATTTCTGAATTGTTTGAGTGAATTGCTCTTTATTTTTAAAATATCCAAAATAAAAAAAAAGCCGAACACAATTTTGAAACTGACGTTTATAGCTATGCCCTGTGGTTAAATTGGTTAAAACCCGCAGGAGCATAACTCGTTTGAAAATCAGTAATTACCGTAAAATGTTTCGTGAGAAAATTGAATTTGAATATTACATTTTCAATGTTTTTCTTATTGCAGCGAAATGTATTTTATTAAATAACTCTGCGAGTTTTCAACATTTTTCGTTCAAACTTGGTCAGATAGTAGAACTAGTCTAATGCTTTCATTGAAACCAATAAAAAATTTTTAGGCAAAATTAACACTCAAAGGTGTTCTGTAACCTTAACATCGGACGTTGAGGCAATGTTCCATCAGGTCAGAGTGAAGCCATCGGATACTAGCGCTTTGATGTTTCTTTGGTGGCCTGATGCTGAATTCTCCCAGCCACCACAAGAATATGCGATGCAAGTCCATCTCTTTGGCACCACTTCATCACCAAGTTGTGCAAACTTTGCCTTCAGAAAACTGCTGAGGATCACAAAGATGAATTTGACAAGGAAACGGTTAACACTGTCAACAAGAATTTGATGATTGTTTAAATTCTGCATCTAGTGTTGAGAAAGCCAAAAGACTTGCAAGTCAACTAAGTGAAATGTTAGCAAAGGGTGGATTCCATTTGACAAAGTGGGCCAGTAACAGTCCCCAGGTATTAAGCTTCAATTCCCTCAAGTGAACGAGCACCTACTATGGTGAACCTCGATTTTGATTTGCTGCCAAATTCGGTGGCATTGGGTGTTGGATTGTGGAAGGATGGGCATGACAGCACCATACCCCTTGGGCGTGACAGCACCATATATTATTCCTGAAAGGCAAATCCTCTAGCATCTATGTCAAATCAACCATGATTCAGGCATTCTGGAATTCTGGGATTTTGCGTAATCAGCTCCAAATCGCGGAATTCTATTTAAATCGCGGAATCCCGCGGACTTTCTCCTAGATTTACAAAAATATATATTTGCTCACTGTAAAATAAAAATAAAAGCTTTGCAAACAGAGATTTTGTTGTAGTTTTGTGTCAACCAGAAGTATAGTTGCAGGAATACTTTACTAGGAATTTCAAAAAATACTAGAAAATGTTAGTTGATATTTCCTAGTATTTTTTGAAATTCCTAGTAATAATCCTGCAACTATACTTCTGGTTCACACGAAACTAAAGCAAAAATGCGAGACTGATATACTACAGGTATATGTACCTCAAAACATACACAAAATTTACGGTTTGAATAAAATTTGAGAAACTAATATTTTTGGAATTTTTCTTGTATTATTGTATACTCTCAACAGGTGCATTTTCTTCCCGGCATGTCAAAATATTATACGATAAGAAATCGAACTTCTGAATGCTGTTTAAATGTGACCTGTTATACCAATATGTACCTCAAAACATACATGGACATTTTCACCAATATTTTGAAAATGGTTACTACTACCTCCCAAAGATATTTCCCCTTATCATTCATCTAATTTGTCACATTGACCGTACGAAAACAGCAAACATATACTCAAGATTTGCATTCATTGTACTACAAAGCTAGCACTATATGTACCTCAAAACATGCATAAGAAAATTGGATGTTGGCAAGGTAATTGGATAAGTGGAAAACAATGTATTTCACACATTTTAGGAAAGTGCTTGATACACTGTCCATGATAATCAACTTCTATGTACCTAACCATCGTAGATTTTCTGTTGGTATTAAAATCTTATAGTTAAGTGATATGATGAATTTAGGATTCATGATATGCTTAATCAACTATACTCCTTCGTACATGAAGTATATTGCATTCAATGCATCAATTCTGTAGAAATTGGGGGCTCAGTTAACTATAATGTTTTTCACCAAAATGTGAAGGATTAAAGTGTAACTTGCCATGGCACCAACAAAAGGAAGACCAAACACACATGCTGAAG